ATGTGCAAACATATGACCCTTTGCCCCATTCTTTGTAATGAGGTACATGTACTGCTGCTACTTCACGTCAGGGATCCATAGTACTGAACTTCCTTGGCCTCCCTGCCCCTGCACAATCCCAACTCCTGACTGAATATTCTTCAAATTTCTGTATACTGTAGACAGAGGAATGTCATGTCTACCAGCAATCTCTTTTGCATTAGTCACACCCCTTTCAAATTCCTCTAGAACCAGCTTTCCTTTCTCTTCTGCTGTCAAATCTGCCATGTCAACAAAGGAACATTGATACCTGGAGTTAAAGTGTGTATATATATGATATGTGTAGCTATAATATGTATATCTATATTAGAGGTTTTGGTGAATATTACTACTATTACATGTAGTCTGTTTTGATCAAATTGGCTGATCAATTTTGGCTCCATGTCGTTTAACTGGTATGCTTGCGTTTGTGAGGGTGATTAAAACTCCTCGTATCGTCATCACTGTTCGACCTGCGACACGGGTCCCTGCTCAAACCTCCAAATGCGGTAATCCTTGCTGTCGTTGAAAGCCATGTAATCGTTGTTCCACTCGTTTGTCTTGACGTAATGATACGACTTGTAACCCCAATCTTTCACTAGCTGTTTGCTGGCTTCCACGAGAGACATGTTGTGAACGATGGGAATGCCCAAACCGTGGTTCGGACCCGGCAAACGCCAATCCACCGTCTTCGGATCTAGTTTGAATTCACCGCAAACGTGTTCGTACGCACGTCGTTCGTATGGATTGTTTACAGCATTCCACGCCTTGTCTTGCGGAATCGGGGAGCTAATTTCTTTCAGGAAACGTCTGATCTAGTAGTACACGTCAAACGAGAATACAGACCGACTCAGCGCATCACGACGAGTGTCGTTCAACATCACGCCACACCCGGTGGTCGCGCACCACGCGGCGAAATTGAATTGATTCTGCCAGAACTGCATCGGGTTGTGGAACCAAGCGTGTACCGTTTTCACATTCGTGACAGAAAACCCGTAATTTTTAAACATGTCCATGAACCGAACCATGAAATGTAAGCATCCTTTGCATCAACCACAATACTCGGTTGCGTGAGATAGGTAGCACTTATCTTATCACTTTGAGAATAAAACACTCCCGGTTTGTACATATTTGAATTGTTATATTTTAGTATACATATCTACTTTTCAATATGTACGTGACGCTTCCGGGAATAACGAGCGGTGAGTCCGTTCAACTGCTGCATGCGATCGGTCACACGTCTGGTCAGCTCGAAGTCGTGCTCTGCGACATCACCTACTACCCGCGATGGACCAGTATCAATGGCAAAAACAACAGGCTGTTCGTCAATAATGTCCGCAACCAAATAACGGACGGCTACTACAGCGTGTGCTCGCTAAACGAAGAAATCTTCAAACCCGTGGGAGCCAAACTCAAAATGAACGACTCGAACAGCACGGTCATGTTAGCCAACAACGGAAAAAAACGACTTGAGACTCGGGTTTACGTCGAACGACATACAACCGGAAACCACCGTGACCAGCACGAAATTACCCGATCTCGTTCCGTATCGCGAACTGTGCATTCATCTCGATCAGCTGATCACGACCGACAACTTTCAAGGCGAACGACATTCCACACTACTGAGAGCTGTGCCACTGAAAACGGAAAAGTACAACGACGGCAGAACCGAATCGTTTTCGTCGCGGCATTACAAGAAATTAATCAAAGGCAACATCATGGAATTGAAAATATCAGTTTTAGATGTTAAACACGATCCCATAAGTATAGAAAATGCGCCAACATAGTGATCTCCGACCTTGGGGACAAGGGCGGATTCAACGAACCAGAGTCGACGGCAAAATGTACGCCTTGCAACTGAAAAACAGCACTTACAAACGCGTTGAACTGCCGCCCTCTACTGCCGTAGGTGGTGATGGCAACGACCTAGGCGATTTCGTCCATACTGAAGGAGCTGTCAACTACACTCGGTACAACCTGATACGCAACGACGAGGACGAATGGACAATAACCCCAGCCTTCCGCGGCAGGCTGTTCCACCTGGACGACCACGGCCGTCTCCAGAAACACGCAGTACACTCTCATCTTCAACGACGACAACAAATGGGTATTTGTGCCATCCCAAATCGACTGGAATCTCAACATCACGCTCGACTTTCCCCACGTTTTCATGGACAACAAAGATCACTACCTGACAAAAGTTGTGAACAACGGAACACTGCTCGTGGCTTACGTCCCTACACAAAGACGCAGGGTGATCGTCAGCACGTTGAGGCAAAGAGTAACCCACATGCTGTCGAGCAAACCCGGGACGCAAAACGTGGGACTGCAGATGGTGTCAGAATTCGACAGCGTGGTAGACGTCCTGGAAAATCTGCCAGCGAAATCCACGCTGTACATCCGAGTCTACCTAGGCAAACCGCCGTCGGCGCGTGACTTCGGCGAAATCGTGAAAGGGATCAAACTCCGCTGGGCCAAACAACAACAATACCAAGTTTGCTCCGTTTACGTGCGGGTGAACGTTAACGCCAACACCAGTCTGCAGGGAGTCACCGTGACCGTGGAAGACACGATATCGCTCACCAAAATTTTCCTACTCGACAACATACATCTCATGGGTTTAAAGTGCACGTCCGAGGAATTATCTGATAACCAATTGAAAACCATTTTGTAATTTTGTATAAAACAACTGATGAAAAACCATCATCCCAACGTAACGCTAGCCGATCTCGGGGACACGCGGGGATTCGATCTGCCCGGCGAGGAAAACACCTTATATCGTCCTGCACTTAAAAGACAAGCGTATACGGCGGGTGTCACTAGCAGACTTCAAACAGCCAGACTAGTTGATCAACATGACCCTCACCTCACCCCACATATCTTTTAAAAACAATGGTTACGTCTCCAAAATTACAACGGGATCCTTCTCACGTCTTTCACTCCAGAGTTTGATGTACACGTTTTACGACTACCAGGTCACACGGGCAACATGTTAGCTTTAAACGACGTGGCTTCATATTTACGGTTTAACGTACCCGATTACCTACGGGATTTTTTCGATTCAAATTTAACTATCAAATCACACACCACGCTCGTAGTAGATGTCTATCTTGCCGACACTCGTGGGTCAGAACGAACACTTTTGACAGGGTTGATAATACACTGGTTCACCAGACACAATCACCAATGGTGTTGTATTGTCATAAGACCGGGATCGACACCCTTAATAAGCCTCGATGGAGTGCGTGTTATAGAAAAAAATTCGATTCATGTCCTGAATATTTATGTGTATGATAATCTAAACCATATCAGCCTCAAATACATCGATCGGATATTAACGGAAAACCAATTAAATATTATTTTATAAAAAATATATATACGCGCACACAGGATGGGACTGTACCCAGTCCTGGATGAAGTAGCAAAAACACTGGAAACCGTAGACGGGTTTTGCTTGTGACAGATATGCGAGATCAAACAACTAGAACGTGAACGAGATACGCGGTGGGCATTACAGAAAAAATATCACAGGGCCGTTAATTCCGTGGACCGTGTTGACAGCACTCTGGTTTCAGTCAGCACGGGATTAGCCGTAGCAGGTATCGGGTTATTATCCACAATCGTGGCCGCACCCATGGTGCTAGGCATCGAAATAACAGCCAGAGTGGTAGGGTTGACCGGATTGAACCTTAAGTATGTGTCTCGCAGACTGCCACGTAAAGCATTGAAACACGACAAAATTAGAATTCTAGCGGAAGTGAAGTTAAACACGATAGACGATCATATTTCCACCACGCTCACCGACTCTAAAATCTCTGGGGAAGAGTATCGTTTGGTGCTGTCAGAAATCACAAAATATCACAGAATGAAACAAGAGATTCGGACCAAGTCTCGTAAAAACGCTGTCATTTGAGACGAGAAAAAAATTCATAGAACAAGGAAAGCAACAGGCCCAACAAGCCTTCATTACGACAACCAAACAAATCATAGAAGGAGATTCACAATAAACTGTTTCGCGGACATCAACATAAAGTAGGCAGCCATCTCAGCAAGCTGTAGGTAAATAGCCGAGCCGAGACACACACACTGCGACTCGCCCACAGCGCTCGCTCAATGCTACCGAGACGGCAGCGAGTCGACCCGGGGCAACTGCCGAGAGATGCGCTATGATTTAGTGGAAATCAACATAACGTTGCCAGCCAGCCAGTCGGCTGTACAAGCCGAGCCACACACTTCGACTCGCCCACAGCGATCGCTCAGTGATACCGAGACGACGACCCGTGGAGGAAACTGCCGAGAGATGTGTTTCACTCACTTTCAGACAACTGTAGCGGGACCAGGACCGGGACCTGGTCCTGTAGCCCCATTGTGTATACTACTCTTCCTCTATTAATCATCTCATTTCAGATATTCTCAACACTTTTCAATTTTCCCCTACCCACAATCTGACCAAATCGATGTAATAAGCTATTTAGACAATGAAGTCTTGGACAGACATTTGGTAACAGAGAACATGTGCAATCATATGACCCTTTGCCCCATTCTTTGTAATGAGGTACATGTACTGCTGCTACTTCACGTCAGGGATCCGTAGTACTGAACTTCCTTGGCCTCCCTGCCCCTGCACAATCCCAACTCCTGACTGAATATTCTTCAAATTTCTGTATACTGTAGACAGAGGAATGTCATGTCTACCAGCAATCTCTTTTGCGTTAGTCACACCCCTTTCAAATTCCTCTAGAACCAGCTTTCCTTTCTCTTCTGCTGTCAAATCTGCCATGTCAACAAAGGAACATTGATACCTGGAGTTAAAGTGTGTATATATATGATATGTGTAGCTATAATACGTATATCTATATTAGAGGTTTTGGTGAATATTACTACTATTACATGTAGTCTGTTTTGATCAAATTGGCTGATCAATTTTAGCTCCATGTCGTTTGACTGGTATCCTTGCGTTTGTGAGGGTGATTAAAACTCCTCGTATCGTCATCACTGTTCGACCAACATACAAATTCCCGTGCCGTCAGTGTTATGCGTTGTTATGGAGCTTGGGCAAAGTTTGGGTAAGCCATCAGCTCCATACAGTGACACGGATACCCCAGTCACTCCTTACATGACTCATGTGAATGTGTAATGCGCTGGAATGGAGCTTGCAACGCCTGGTATTTAACATGTTTAGCGCTGTTCTTTCTTGATTTACAGACGTACCCGGTTTTGTAACTACGCTTTTTGTTTGAAAATGGCGTCTGAAATTGACACAGGTAAGTTGACATTTCGAAGATAGCATGTATAGAGATAAGCGTTATAGAAAAGGCTGAAAATTTAATGGGGTGATCCTTGGGTTATGATCTGGTTGACCCGTTGTTCCTTCACCCGACGGCAATGTTTACTCGCGCTATAACGAAGTGTGCTGCGTCATACTTTGATGGCAACATGATTGTGGAAAGGGCTGTAGGTGAATTCGTAGACCAGACTGGTTCGTAGACGTGGAAATCCGGTGGATTCGTAGGCGGATTGAGCTGTGGATTCGTAGACGTTAGTAAAAGTGGGAAAAGTTCAACCTCATTAATAATGAAAATCGACGAAAAGTGTTTGCATTTTGTGAAATAAATAAAATATATCAGGTAAGTATGATCGGCGATGAAAATATGCTTAAAATAATAAAATGCTTAAAATAATAAAATGCTGAGAGAGGTGTCTAAGTTAAATGGACCAATGGTCACTGAGTGACTGTGATACGTGCTTCCTTCCTTAATCATTTGCGTGATAACGGTGTTATCTAACTACTACTGTGATACGTGCTGTTGTTACCTATTGTTGTTGATCATAAATATATTACATTATCACTCTTCCATAACAATGTTGTCTGTCTTTTTACATTTTACGACGCTTCATCTTTATTACACACAAAGTCACACAGTAACAATATTTTCGTATCACTGAAAATAAACAATACAACACAAACCCTACATATACAAATACAAATACATGTAAACAAGTCTAGACAAGTTACGGGAAAATATTCGTTCACTCTTCAATCACACTTTTCTTGTCCTTAGCTGCCGTTAGTTTCGTATCACTGAAAACAAAGCATAACAACTTCGTTATACACAATCTATCACCGTCTCCCGTGGAAAGATACTGTACAGTTGTCTTTTATATTATGTTTATATATTATATATATATTAGGTTTTAAGGGCCCGAAAACATTTGATACGAGGAAAAATAGCCTTTAGCCAAGAGTAGCGATTGGGGCGATGACTGGACTGCAATGGGCTAAAGTATTTAGGTACTTCAGCGTAAAAGTATACTGAGAGAAACAAATAAAGGATCACAGGAAAATTTAAGCGTTCCTTTAATATTTTCCAGTTTTCATCACCACAGCGCTATTCAAAGCTGGTGATGAAAACTGGAAAATATTAAAGTAACGCTTGAATTTTCCTGTGATCCTTTATTTGTTTCTCTCAGTATATAATTTATGAAATCACCAACCATAAATAACAGTAGACTTCGATAGTTCCCTTTTCAATGCAGTGAGCAATGGACTTTCATCATCTAATCACACTTTATTGTAGACTAACATCTGGTCTATGAAATGAACATATTTTACAGAAAAAGTAGCACATGCATATGTAATATCAATGTATGGTGTGGCCAAAGGGTTAAAATAATCATCCAAACAAACATAATTATGAAATGAATGAAATGGGTATATGGGGGTTATGAATTATTATTTTCCACATAATTTGTTTTTTATTGTTTTAATTATATTCATGGAGCTTAAGGGATTAGAAATGAGAACTATAAGTTCTGTAAAATAATGTAACCTTTTATGTTGGACAATAATAAGTTTTATAAGGACAACAATGGATAAGGTCTGTTGCTCAATGGTAAGGTGAGGTGAGGTGAAATTGGGTTTAACGTCGTGCTTGAGAATATTTCGCTCATATGACGACGTGCATGCGTGTGTATGTGTATGTGCGGCTGCTTGTACTAGCCCAGACTTAAGCTGGTTTTATAGTGCTAGCCCACTGAGATACCATGTGGTAGTGAAGCATCACAGGAAAATTCAGACACATTATACTGACTCCGAGCCGACCAGTCCTTGTTGTACCTATTAATGCCGAGCGCCAGGCAGGGACCAACAAGTACCATATTTTAACGTCTTTTGGTATGACGCGGTTGGGGATCGAACCCGCGACCTTCCGCTCTCTGGGCGGATGCTCTAACCACTACACCACGGAGGCGGTCTCAATGGAGTCGAAGGAGCTTTTTATGCATATCTCATGCATTTATAAGCATGGGAACTGAAGCATTAAGTGTGTAAATATATGCACATGTCACAAACATGACAAGTATTCTCTTTTGTGTAATTGTATTTTATAGTGGTTTAAAAGCTGACACATCTTGGAGGCAGCAGTAACCATTCATATGCTTATTATGATCCATGTTTTCCTTGCATAGGCTGATTGATACATGACCTATTGTAGAAATCTTCTTCACCAGATTTTTGCTGCAAATTAAATGTTGATTCAATGTTGTTTCATGCATATGCATGCTGCTTCACCAGAATGTGTGGTGATTTCATGCTTTTTGGTTGTGTGTAATATTTGTTGTATTGGACTTTCAATAATTGTTTTTATACTGGAAGACCAAGACAAACAAATTGATCACGTTGATAGATTTTGGTGAATATCATTTTGCATCGATGACATGGAAATAATAACCGTTTCCTCATGTTCCAGGACTTCCTCCTCCGCTGGAAGACATGACTCACTTGTTGCAGCAGCTTCATCCAGACAGCCCCCTGACATCACCGCCTCACTCCTCATCTCATCACCAGAAACGTGTGGATAACACAGTTCAGGTAGGTCATTGAGTGACAAGTCATGTGTTTTAGTTAGGTTTTCCTAATTCCATGGTCTAATGGAGATGATTGCTGCAGTAAATGACAAGTCCCTTAAATCACTTGGCAGATTTAGAAATATGTCACACAAGAAGTATAGAGTATAAATATCTTCACTCCAGCCTGCAGCATCAACAAGGACTGATGAGCCATCCGAAAGAAAACCTAGTGTCTCCACAAGCAAGGAAAAGTGTTCAGCTGCCAGAGGGGGTTTTGGCGGGCTCAAGAAAGGCTTCCTGTTCGGCAGCTCTCCGTCTTCAACACATACTACTAAACACAAGTCAGTGTCAGAGGAAGATAAAATGCCATTTGTTCAAAAGAACAACTCTCAAACAAATTCCTTACATCTACCTGAGCTGGAGCAAGCAATGAAACCAACACACCCATTATTTGACAACAAAGGTAACAATGCACTCTACATACATATTGATATTTACAACCTGTATATTCAGTGGTCTAAAAATAATGTTAGGTGACACATTGACAAAAAGAATAAGGTTTCATTTACTGCCGCTGGTACAGTATACTTTGTCAATGTTGTAAAACTGTGTTATAACTCGTGTTATATGTGTGTCTTGGATTGCACGTCAATTGAGTACTTCAAAAACAATCTCTAACTAAGGCACCTAAACAGGTAATTACTTGAATTACATTGATTAATACTGGTCAGGGACTACTTTCTAGACAAAACCTCTCTCACTACTGATTGCTTTCATTTGATTTAATATTGGACAAGTTTATGTGTGAACCTTAGACACTAACTCAGTCGCTGTTGACAAGTTCAAAGGTTACTGTCTCAAGAAAATGAACAGACAGTGTATATACACACATGCATACACTCAGGCACAAGCTACTGATAGTATCTTAAACTGTCTTATCATGTACCATCACTTGATAAAAAACCTGAAAGAATTTCCGTACTATAAGTATCTGCGAATGTACTGATACAAATCCTTTTGTTTTAGATTTTGTTACAGATTCATTATTGGAGAAAGTCTCTAAAAATAAGGTTCTGTCTAAACACCTAGCTGATCCTACATTCTCCCAAGCCATCACAGAGTTTCAGACCAATCCACAGGCAGCTCTCGTCAAATACCAACACAACAAGGAAATCCAACTTGTTTTCAAGGAATTCTGTGCATTGATGGGTGAGTAGCTCTCAACTGAGGCATATGTCCGCGCAGAACACACACATGGACTACCGATCTGACAGGATAACAGCTGGATATAGTTAGGGAATAACTGTACTGTGTTTGACGAATTTGGGACGTATACCGGTGGTTATATAGCCGCAAATTTAGTTATATCGGCGACGCAAAGCGGAGCCGATATGATATAACATTAAATTTGCTATGACTATATAACCACCGCATACGCCCCAATTGTCAAACACAGTACAGTTATCCCCATTCTAATTCAACTCGTTTTACGCTGTTTTTTCGTGAAAGAAATTCATTATTTAAACCAGGTCAAAGTTCCTCTAGGTCAAAGGTTAATCATATCACTCCTTCAACTTACACCATCGCCAGAGAAAGTAGTTCCCTTTTCAAACTACACATGTTTATTATGTGCACACAATTGGTTATCTATTGTAAATAAAGGATGAAAAATGCACAACTGATTTTTCATGTTTCATGGATTTTCTCAATCAAATTAACCATTTCCTGACATGTCAAGGTGAATCTGGAGTTGTTTTAAAAGTGAAATGGATTAGTGTGTGTGCTGTGTAAGTTTTTGAATGGACTGTTTTAATATTAGACATATTGTCCGGCTTTTAGCAGAGTTAATGTGTTAATGATAATGACTATTTTTGGTTAGGTAAATTGCTGACATACATGTAGTGCCTTAGAAAGAGTATATTACTTGTCATCTGCAGGTAATCATTTCTCAGAGCTTGGTGCAGATGGATCTCAGTCTCAGCAGCAGCAGCAGCAGCCCTGTGATGAGGACATGCAACGAATGCAGCAGATCCTGGCCAATGACCAAGTACGGGAGATCCTCATGGACTCCAAAATTCAAACCCTTCTCACACTTCTGAAAACTGATACTCAAAAAGCACAGAGGTGAATTGCACTGTTTTATTGAAACTCATCCATGTTAGCGGGATATATAGTAGGAGTAAGAGTAAAACATTAAACCCATTTTATTCATTCAACTTTGAGACAAGAGGGTTCAACTGTATTTTGTTTCTCACAGCAGTGTAATCTCCCTAATAATGTAGAATTTCAGTTAGAACTTGGTGAGTTTTGATGTCCATGTATTGAATCCAATGCAACAAGGCTGAGATACCTAGAACCTCTCTATCAAAGAAACTGTACTTTTATTTCAGATTTGTTCACGAAGGTGGTTTGGACATGAAAGTCAAGATCAACAAATTGATTGATGTAGGACTTCTTCAAATGGAGCCTTTTTGATATTAATGTACTGTTTGAAATATGTGATATATATATTGTTTTTTCCAAATCACTCTTTCTGTAATGATGCTTTATGCTTTTGTTTTAGGTAGCGTGATAACAAATGCAACAATTTTAGATTCTTTCGGGTGATCAGAATTGATACTAAACGCCTAGGTCTTTATCCTTAAGTATTCCTTTAATACTTGGTGCAATAATGTTCCAGTAAAAAACAATTGGATCGTTAAACTTTGTAGATAGATTCTGCACAACACTTGTCACAAGGTTGACATTTCTGTGGCTTTTAGGGCTGCACCAGTTGGACTTGCAGGAACTGAAGGATTTGTAAATGACTTTGAAGCAGCAGATTGATGTGTTTGTGTTTGTATATAGAACAGCTAACATTGTCTGTCTCGGACTCCTTCCTGGTGCTCCTCTGGTAATAGAGCTGTTTTCAAGGAACCTCTGATTGATCTATTCATGAAAGACATAAAGATAGTGATGTGCATGTTCACTCCATAAAGAATCAAAACAATTTAATTTATTTGTGGAATTGTGCTTACTGAGGTCATGTGTAATCTTCATCAAACAGTGCATTGATAACAGTGTTATCACCATCACATAAAGTGTATCAACACAAGGCTGATCTGTGAACCAGTTATCATCACATAAGTTGTATCAACAACACCAGGCTGATCTGTGAACCAGTGTTATAATAATCATCACATAAAGTGTATCAACAACACAAAGCTGATCTGTGAACCAGTGTTATCACCATCACATAAGGTGTATCAACAACACAAAGCTGATCTTTGAACCAGTGTTATCATCACATAAAGTGTATCAACAACACCAGGCTGATCTGTGAACCAGTGTTATAATTATGATCACATAAAGTGTATCAACAACACAAAGCTGATCTGTGAACCAGTGTTATCATCATCACATAAAGTGTATCAACAACACCAGGCTGATATGTGAACCAGTTATCACCATCACATAAAGTGTATCAACAACACCAGGCTGATCTGTGAACCAGTGTTATCATCATCACATAAAGTGTATCAACAACACACGGCTGATCTGTGAACCAGTGTTATCATCATCACATAAAGTGTATCAACAACACCAGGCTGATCTGTGAACCAGTGTTATCATCATCACATAAAGTGTATCAACAACACCAGGCTGATCTGTGAACCAGTGTTATAATCATCACATAAGGTGTATCAACAACACAAGATTGGAATGGTGTTTTGTTCACTGAGAGTCCAGATTTCATCTGGGCAGCTCCGATGGCAGGGCAAGGGTCTACAGACTGCTATAGATGAAGGGAATGCTGACACGTGCGTTGTTCAACGTCGACCGTTTGGTGGCGGTAGCGTTAAGGTATCTCATGGTCGGACACAACTTGTCATTGTCAATGGTAATCTGACCGGTCTGTGATACACATTGGGCCTCACGTGCAGCCGTTCTTTCAAGAGAGGTAACTTACGCTTAAGCAAGATATTGCCCGTCCACATGTCGCTCGTGTTGTGGCGTATTTCCAGAGACAGACGAACTTTCCGGTATTATCTGGCTAGTTGCTTCTCCGGGCCTGTCCCCTGTCGAGCACGCTTGGGGTGAAATGGAGAGACATTTACGTCAAGCCCAAAATCAGCATTAAGAAAGGGTACAACGTCAAATAATACACTTTATTAAAGTAATATATATATGAAATCCTCCTTTAAATTCGTGTTGTGTCCTTATTTGTGGATTTCTTGTGGATATGACGCAGAACAATAACATTCACAACTAAATACAAAATATGAAATTGTTGGAAATGCAATACACGTTTTTACAATGCATAGTTTTCGCCAGAAATTAACTATATCCACGATGACATTAGATGCTTGATTGGTATTTTGGAAGATGCTGTTTGATGAACATAAAGAATTTTCTGGATTTCATCTTCTTATATTCCTTGATACAACGTTTCGGGGCGTTCCGGCCCCATCATCAGGTAAAACTAAAAAAGTTAACCAGTGTTTGCAATACTTTAATTTGCCAGTTGGCCATCGGGGCGCCTGTTGCCGCCTGCAGGCTTTAAAATCTATATACAGGCCCTGAATGAAATCTGCAGGCCCATTTTGTTAAAGTCAAACCAATACAAACGAAATAGACAACACTGTAGAGAAGTTTTGATTTGTTAAGACTGGTGTTGACATTCCTATTTACAAAGCGCTGAAATACCCAAAAGTGAAACTAAGTAATCGTAACATGATGGATCATGGATGGTTCCCGAACATTAATACAGAAAGAAATTATGGGAAAGATTTCTGTTCAGAAAACAAATTACTGATAATTTACTGAAGGCAACAATGAGGGGCCTGCAAATATTTCGAAACTGACGAACCGATAAAATAACAACCGGCGTTGGGCCGGCGATTATTTCGAACGCTGAAGTTAACTGATTATTCGTTTTACCTGATGATGGGGCCGGAACAGGACAGAAACGCTGTATCAAAGAACGGAGTTGTCTCTCTTGAATGAAACCAAGCACTTGATAGCTGGTCAAGGTTGTTTATACTAGAAATCCAATTAAACATATTCCTAAAATTCTCAATAATTTCTGATCATACTATATATATGCCAGGCGCGTATAGCAAGCCAGTTTTTCGTGTAAGCCCGATATGTTGACAAGCTATATATTTAGATAGTACTGAGGGCTTGCCCAACTTTCATGGTGATCTTTAGGAAAAATCACGCACAAGCCCGATACGAGCTTTTTTCGTAATGGTAGCTACGCGCCTGTATGCAAATTTGATTTAGAAAAGTTACTTCAACTAATCATATCACTTTCACCGCGGCATTTCTGGTATCCCCACCGTGATGTTGCTGGAGTATTGCTAAAAGCTAAAACTAAACTCACTCTCTATTTTTCACGGCGGAGGGACATATTTGTCTCAACTCTTAACGCCTAATATTTTCGTAATGTTCCCTTCCTATATAATTATTAAAGATCACATATACTCTAGTGGGGTTCAAATACATAAATCAATAATTGTCATCGTTATAAATGAAACCCCGTCATTAAAGCTACTCATTTCTATCTTTAATTAACTTAAATCGGCCTTTTTGACAACAGTGCACAATTCTCACCCGCGAACAAAATTTAAACCAATCAGAGCGGCGTGTCTCTGTGACGTCATATGAGGAATATATAAGAGGGCCGATGCAGAATTCATGTACAGGGAGTCAATAACACCCAAGCTCCCATGCCACGCCACATCAGTTGCTCGGCAATCACCGGGGTCATTGCACACAGACCCCAAGGACCAAATGAAAATGCCTGGTCCGCCCAACCATCATGCTTCCCAAAGAGGGAAATGAGAAGCAGCAAGTGGCCGTGTCCACTCTCTAGGGTGAGAGCAGGGTAAGTACAGGGGAATGGTCGTGTCCACCCCCCAGGGGAAGAGCAGGGGGGTGGCCGTGGCCGCTCCTCAGGGTGAACGCAGGGGGGTGGTCGTGTCCGCTCCCTAGGGTGAAAGCAGGGGAGTGGACGTGTCCGCTCCCTAGGGTGAAAGTAGGGGGGAAAGGAGGGGGGTGTCCGTGTCCACTCCGCAGGGTGAAAGCAGGGCGTGGCCGTGTCCACTCCCCAGGGTGAAAGCAGGGGGTGGGGTGGGGTTTGGTCGTGTCCACTCCCCAGGATGAAATACGTATATATACCTACGCACATGTATATATACGCCCATGCGTCCAAAAGAGGGTCAACACAGGAAGGGACAACAAGTCCAGCCTCAGGAATCCCAAGAAGGGATAACCAAGATCCAGCACCATGCGTCCCAAGGAGGGACACCCAAGCACAACCCATGCGTCCCAAGGAGGGACATTCCGTTCCAGCCCCATGCGTCCCAAGGAGGGAAATCCAGATGCAGCCCATGCGTCCCAAAGAGGGACACTCCAACGCAGCCCCAAGGAGGGACACCCCTACTCGGCCCCATGCGTCCCAAGGAGGGACACCCAGATGCAACCCATGCATCCCAAGGAGGGACACCTAGATGCAGCCCATGCGTCCCAAGGAGGGACACTCCAATGCAGCCCCACGCGTCCCAAAGAGGGACACCCCTATCCGGCCCAAGCGTCCCAAGGAGGGACACCCAGATGCAGCCCATGCGTCCCAAGGAGGGACACTCCAACGCGGCCCCACGCGTCCCAAGGAGGGACACCCTTATCCGGCACAAGCGTCCCAAAGAGGGACACCACAGCCTCCCCCACGAGTCCCAAGGAGGGACGCACCCCAAGGCGGGATAGGTCTGCCGAAATACCAGCAGGCGAAGGCGACCTCCAAAGCATATAACCAAAGAAGATTCATGTACATTTCAGGGGGTAAATTATTTGTTGACAGGTTTGTATAAACCTGAAATGGTGACAACTGTTGTGAAAAATGAAAGCTATATGTTCTCACAATCTACTGTCATTTAATTTTGTCTCCTGCTTTGACCTAGTTTCCGAGTTACAACTTGTTTTCATAGACGATTCTGTCAAAATCGCTTGGTGTCGCTAGGCCTTATTTGTTCGAGCCAGACGCTAGTGATAGCGAAAACGATGATCAGCCTCACTCATCACGGTTATGGTTAATTTCTTCAACCTAGACAGTGCGACATTAAGAAGGGTGGATGCCCATCAGATGCAGTTATTTGAAAATATCCCCGGTAGTTCTTGTCTGATTGTAATAAAGTATCAAAGCAGTGTGGGCTTTTTCAGGTTTTCTAGTGCCTGGATGGTATAATGACTGATCCAAATTGATCCCATTTCTGTGTTTTTCTACCTCCTGTTTAATCATGTCATGTAAAACTATGACGTCTATTACGTATGACATTTTATTTATATGAATCCGTGAACTAATCAATCCTACTTTGCCATTGCTAGAAGAATCTGAAAATTTACTTAGGTAAATAGGTACATACAGTTTTAGCACACAGCAAATGCTTATATGTATTTCTTATGCAACAATGAAGTTCTGTTTGTATTCTCAAAACAGTGTCGGCCCATAAGTTTTCACATGCAATTACATGCAATTATAAGTTTTCGCATGCAATACAGCAATTAATACTCCCTTGTTGTAACCCGTGTTAGGTGGTATAAACCTACACATGTTATTTATCATCATTCACTTGATGGTCAGTTAATGACATTATAACAGGTATAATTAGTGGTAACACACTTAGATTACCTGACAAAGGTTCCCATTTGGCATTTCTTGTGTCTGGAGTAAATACTCAACATTATAAACATGGATCAAAGGATTAACCGATAACACGCTGATTGATTAATTACTTTTATCTTGCACAGCGGATTTGTCAACAGGTAGGGTTTATGTATGTAGATTTACTAATGTAAACTGAATACACTCTGCCGTGCCTGTGTCTGCGAAAAACAACGTCCTTCTTTCAAAGGATTAACCGCCAATTATTGGCTAACTAAATTACTTTTTTTTTTAAAGAAAGGCGGACATTATGCAATTAGTTGCCAGGTGTGCTATCTTGGGTGACCAATGAGACTATAAACCAATGTGAAATACCTGAAACGATGTGTCACTTTTTCGTATATTAGACTGTTAAAAGACACATCACTTGGAACAGCTGCAGATGAATGGCATATCACTCGTTTTTGTGGATATTGATGGATACATTCCTCGAACAAGGGAATAGCTTGACATTGTTCCTATAACTTTAATCTGTTTTAATTTTAATATTTGCATTTTGTTTTTATTCATTTGTCGTAGCATTCAACAGAATCATTGTTTTCGCCGTGAAGTGTAATGAGACAGACAACATACACTAGGGCGTGTGTGCGAATTATGATTCACATTGGCAAACTATAAAATGTCTAGATATTACAGTCCTGTTATAAATTTACTATAAGTATCAGCAGATCGTCTTCTTTTTATTTAGTTTCAAAATGCATACAGGTATGATAATAAACTAATTAGGATTATAAGACCAAATATAAAGACGTACATTGACTAGTATCTACATACTGGTGAGTGGACGTTAACCACGTGAATGTAGCAAGAAATTTATCGGCAGTATTGTGACTTCGACCCCCACATCGCTTCCGTGGAAGAAATCGTTATGTTATAAGTTGTGTCATGCAAAATCCTTTTGGTCATGATTCAAATACATATTTAACTACGAGTAGAAAGTAGTTTTGATTTTCTAACTTGATGAAAACAAACCATAATCTCATTAATTCTAACCGACTTTAGCCCGTGACTTTACGATTTTCAAAAATGGCGGCGCCCTGTCGCGAACATCCGCCAGTCTGAGGATAAATGCTATTTAGGTTTGTTTTCACCGAGTTACAAAATCAAAACTACGTTCTACTGGTAGTAAAATATGTATTTGATTGATGGACAATAGGATTTTGCATGACATAGCTTATAACATAACAATTCTTTTATTCTTTAACTTCCGTGAAGCGATCTGAACACAAGTAAGATATCGTTTCAGGCCTTCCACAACGCTCGCTTCGTACTCACAAACATAACCCATTTAGCACGAACTGCGGGGTCCTGTGGAAATCTGTGCATGGGGACACCATCGCCCGACCCCTAGGAGCAATTGACGACAAAGCAACGATTCGGCATGTGTCGTTGATGTCGAGAAATCATCAAAATGATGAGCGTGCTACACATTTTCTATACAACTAACTGAAAATCGTTCCTCATATGACGTCACTGCAGTGCT